ACCCACCCACCAGTGACCACCCAGCACCACCCATTCCATTCCGTGCTTGGGCTGTCCAGTGACGTTTAGCGAAATACTGAATACCGCTGCTCCGCTGTCCTTTGTGTCCTAGTCTCATCTTGCTCCGTCCAGTGGGACGTTTACCAAAATATATACAATATTCTGTTACTGTCCACGTTGGCCATCTATATCCCCACTATCAGTCTTCCCTCAACCCCTGCCCCTCCCCCCACCAAGCCCTTCAGCTATGTGCTGTTATTGTGGGCGTGTACCACAAATGTTTTGAGCCACTCAAATGCAGCTCAGAGGCAAGTGGTTCGCCCATGATATCGTATGTGTGTATGTGTTTGTGTGGGTGTGATTACGTAGCACATAGCCAGCGGCTGGCATAACCACAATGCACGAAATTTAATGCCAACAGCAAAAATAATGAAAGTATTTGCTTTGCTAAGCACAAAAATATGTCAAAGTAAATTTCACTTCATTTTTTTCGCTTCTTTCCTTGGCATCTGCTTCTTCTACTCATATCCTTTCACTCTACATGTCTGTGTGTGTGTGTGTGGCATGGCGTTTAGGTTGAGTAGCTTTGACTTCCAGATGCGTTGCATGCTGGCACGCAGCACGTAACATGTGGCATGTAGCATGTAGCATATTTGCCTTAGCACATAGTTCAAAAGTGTATGCTCAACTAACGACTAAAATATGCCTAAAGATCTTAAATAAAACATATAAACTCAACTAAATTGCATTCCAAGCAAACATTTAAAATGTATAATTAATTCTATGCGACAACTGCAATTAGTAACAGCAAATTGCACCAATTTGAGGCACTCACCCACAGACCTACACAGTGCTCTCATATTTGCATATGTATTGGAAAGGTGTATTTAGCAACTATTTAATAAATTCTCAATATGCTTCAATTTGCTTGCAAACCTGGGGATAACTTTAAAGTGCCACAGCAAAGATATATCACGTGTTGAGCCCAACTCAAACTTCAACTCCAACTCCAACTGAAACCTGGGCATTATGATATACCACGATTATTGCTTGCGAGCATGTTTTTTTAAATCTGTTAGTCTTTCTGTGTGTGTTTTCATTTTGGTTTTTTTTTACTGTTTTTGTATTTTGTCGCTCCCAACCTTGTTGCTGTCCGATGAGTAAAAATTGGAATCCATCAATCAAGCGTACGTAAACGCACACAAAAGTGACAATCTGAGAGTATATGGTAGGTAGAGTTGCTGCTGGGGTTGGGGCAGGAGGAAGCGGATGAAAGCGGATGGAAGGAGTGTAAGCTGAACCCGAAACGGAAACTGACGCAGAAAATCAACTAAAACCGCACAATCAAATTAAATATGCACAATATGATTTGCAATATATGTATGTTGAGAGTTGCTGAAAATATTTATCGATCAAACCGATAGCGATTAATCACCGCATATACAAATATATATTCTTTGCTAATCTGTTATCTGTATTCCTCTTGTCTTTTGCAGTGCAACGGAAATATTTGGGAATTGCTGAGAAATCGATAACTATATCGATAGTCGAGAAACGACACCAAAGTGAACGCGTGTGCATATTTTTTTTTTGTTTTTTGTATGGTTTCGGTGACTGGAACACGTACCCAACTGCAGAGAACAGTTAAACACACACGCACACACGCGCTGCCGTGTGTAGGTGTGCGTGAGTGAGCTGGACGCAGCACGGCTAAAAATGGATTGGACTCGGTGGCAAGACGTTAAAGCCAGAGACAGAGCTGGCAACAGCAACCTTTGCGATTGCGAAAATCAGCACAGCCAGTGGCTACCCATTTGATTCGTCCAGCTTCATAGTAGGATCAAATTAATCAATCAGTAAATCAGTCAATCAATCGGTCAGTCAACCCGTCAACAAGTCAACCAGTCAGTCAACTAGTCAGTCAGTCAATATCTGTATCTGTATCAGTATCAGTATCAGTATCTCAATATCAGTATCAAGTCAGTGCTCACGTCACCCACTCAATCAGTTAGTCAGTCAGTTGATCAATTGATCACTTCGCTTTTTGGCATTCATAAAAACTAACTGTAAATAATATCAGCAATCATAGCTTACCGATCCGAAAATAATAACAACTTACATACACACATAATCTATATGTAGTGCAGTGTTAATCGATCGAATATCTGAAAATTTAATAAATCAAGAGCAACAACATTAATTGCAACTGGATCGAGGAGTCTGCAAAGAGGATTGCGGCGCATGCTGCAGGTTTGTTGGCCTAGTGGAAGCGCCAACAATTGCAGCTGCAACAGCAACTGCAACAACATTGCAACAACAACTACGAACAACAGAGAACCAACAGCAACAGCAAGAATAAGTCTCGAACAAGAACCGCCTCACAACAGCCAATGCCCTCTTTGCCATCATAATTAATCAACAACGTCATCATCGTTTGTTTAGACTTGACACAAGTGAGTTTAGAACAACAATCAAACTAGCATGCTCATATAATATGATACTATTTATAATACTAGATAACTCTAACTCTAACAATATATCTATCTATATATCTCTCAATACCAATATTAATATATTGAATATGTAAATATTATCTTTGAGATGAGTTTCAAGTCTTGAATTCTTGTCTAAAAACAAAAACACACATATCAATCGTTTCATGCTAGAGCATAGCACTTGTTAAAGCTATCGATAGTGCCACCAATCGATAATCGAATATTAAAATAGATTACATAAGCATAGTTACACTCCGATGAATATGTTAATATTACAATCCTCAGGCACTTCATGATTTTGTTAAAGTGAAATTGAAGAAATTAACTAAATTTGGACTCACGCTTTGGTAATCCAATCACAGCACAGTGAATCGAAATTGAAGTCTTTTCGATAAAATTGTATTCCATATACCATAGAAAAACAATTTGTTTATTAATGAAACTTATTCTGTAAACTGATTAACGACTCGTACAAACAAATAAATTAACTCATTTAACGTAATTAATTATTTCTTTATTAATTTATGTTATTATTATATTAATTTATAATATATTAATTATTTAATTAATAAACATGTTCCTTTTTGAATTTTAAAACATCAATAGCTCTTTTAAAATATCACCCACTTCAATTTAAATATACTCTGCTAGTATATTTATAATAAATTCGCATCTATTGATGAATAGTAATTAAAACGAAATGTCTGTAAGTAACGACACACACACACATTTATATACATATATATATATACATATATATATATATATATATACATGCAAATTATTGGAGGGTAGTCGATATGTAGAGCACTGAGCAGACTGTCTGCTTAGTGTTTAGAGTTAATTGACAATTGGTGGTGGATTGAGCCACGTTGTCGCCTTGGGAGCGTCTCGTCGCTATTCACAATGCACTCAAAAGACTCATAGTGCAACATTCATGGCAGTGCAGTTGTTACAGATCGACGACAGTCACGGCACCACCCGCCATCAACTCTGTCTCGCATGTAGAGTGCATTTTATACATTTGTAAGTAGCGTTAGCAAACCCTTTTTTCTCTATACTTTGAACTACTACCGAACACGGGCCCTCCCCACCCAACCCCTCACCAGCACCTCACTCTTCTGAGTCCACTGTGTTTGAACCGCAATCTGACAAAGCGAATCTCATGCAAATCACATGCAAAACAGGACGAAGGGACGAGAGGACAACAAAGGAACGGACGTCATTGCTCCGATGCCAGGCGACAAGCAATTTGTACAAACATTTGCGCAAACAAATCGCAAGCGGTCACGAATCACGAGTGTCACGAGTTGAACGTGAAGGTGGACCCGGGACTGGTCGGTCGCGTGACCCTCAAGCTTTACACACTCAGCAACATAATTGCTCATAAAACGTCGCAGTGCCGATAACAAAACCAAAAACGTTTATAACAATTATACCACACTGAGCAGCCATTTGGGAGCAGTAGCAGCACCAGCAGCAAGGAGGAAGCGGGAATCGGGGGTTAGCCCAAAGCTGGGCGGCTTTAACTCGATTGCTCGACCGAATTACAGCAAGGGGCGTGAGTGTGAAAAAAAAATCAAAAAACACATTTATATATATATATACATATATATATATATACGTATATATATATATGGAAGAGGTGTGAGGTGGGCATTAGCTCCCACTGCCACTCCCACATGGTGGGAGTGACGCCTACTGGCTAAATGTATAAGCCAGATACGTTAACGCGCCGCGGCAGTTTGAGATCCCTGCGCAGCGCACCGCTGCTCAGCACGGTATTGGAGAGCACGCTCTCTCTGACGCGCATCCATCCGATTGCATCGCTGGAGCTGCCCGGACTCGACTATGCAGTGCAGTCGCAGTCACACATTGGTGCTTTCCATCATCGCGAATTAGGCACATCCCTGCGCAGCGGAATCGCTGCCATCACAGCGGCAAGTGGTGCTGCCGGTGGCCTCTCCCAATCTCAGAGTGCGCTCCTCGGACGTTACGGTCCGAACGCCTCAATACGCAACACCGAACGAAAGATTGTCCAGCCAAAACGGTACGTCTATTTTTAATATCCTACATTCCTTCCGACCACCTGGCCGACCGCCCGACCGCCTGCTCCTCAGTCACTCACTCACTCTCACCAACCCAAGGAGAACTGCTGCTCTGTCTTCAAATAGTTCTAAGCCCCTTTCATCGGAATTCTTTGGGAGTTGCTAAGTGTTTAGTCAATCTTTTATTGGTTGTTATAATCTATAAATAATGAGCATTCCGAATCCCTGAATAAAAATGTAATCGAGACCAACTGCAATATGACAAATATATGTTAATTACGTAATTAATAGTAATCAGCTTCGATTCAATTAAATTCAAACTGATTGGCATAATGCTGGATAAATTGACGGTGTTGCGAGAAATGTATGTCAAATGAATTACTGTATCAAAATTTATTTGTTATTACGCTTAATCAAATTTCATCGGAATCAAACTATTATTCATTTGTGAGTTAGCTTTTAGTTTAATTAAAATATTGGCTTTGTACATGTTATTTGTCTGCTATTTGCAAATAGCTTTAGACTGACTTGCAGACTGAATGTTTACTGCCAATCGCGAACGGGATTCCAGCGCTTGAGATTGCCATCCCAAGGTAGATCTTCGATGCCAGCCTGTGCTGCAATAGCCGCCTTGACACGATTCGCGAACTCAATGGAGGATTCAGTGGGTCGTCGTTTAATCGGCGGCATGTACCACACATCGCACAGGATCGTCCACGACGAGATCACCATGATGATGTAGCGCAGCACGGAGCATCTGGTGCTATCCCAGAAGGCGTCTCCAAACCGTCGATCGTAATGCAGAGCGATCGGATAGATGACGTTGCTGATGGCAAAGCTGCCCTTCCTAAACTGCATCACAGCCGTATTGTTGATGCACGTGCCCTCCGGGAACAATAGAATGGGTGGCTTGCCACGCTCCGTTGCATGCAGGCGCAACATCGATGTCAATGACTCTCGATCCCGGAGCGCCCCACGCTCGAACCACAGATGAGACGATGTCCTGGCCAGGGCGCGCTGTATGATGCCCAAAATGCCATTGTGTCGCTGTCCGGTGAGGGAATAGTGGACATCGCACATGAGTACCAGAACATCCAGTGGGCTAGTATGATTGCACACACAGATGCCCATGCGAGGACGCAGCTGCTCGTTGTGAACGCGTCGCAGGATGGGAATGAAACAGGTGGCCAGACGGAAGCATGGACGCAGTACCAGATGCACTAGCCGCCGCTTGAAGCTCAACTCGGGCAACTGGCCCAAAACGGCCGTTAGCAGCGTGACCAGCAGCAGGCAGCAGCAACAGCCGACTGTTCGCACCGGCACCAGTAGACCATAGCGCAACAAAATCGAAAGTGTCCACATGAGGAATAGACGCCAATTCAGCTTACCCCTCCTCATGCGCAGATTGCGTGTCAGCAGATTCCATTCACCTGCGGGCGGCTCGGCAGCAGCAAAACGCGTTGTCACCTCATCCTCGAGGACGAGACGCAGTCCATCGGCAATGAGATCGCAGCACTGTTCCATCCTTGCATTCAGTGCATCCCTGCTAGGCTTTGCTCTCCGCCCCGGTTGCGGTTGCTCGGGCTTCTGCTTCGGTTTGGTGCATCGCCTCTGCTGGCGTTCTTGCACCATCTGCAATTGTCTCGAGCTGTATGCGAAGAGGCGCTCCAGCAGCTTCTGGTACCAATACCTCATGAATTCCAAGGAGCCGCAGAACAATGATATGCCCAATAAAATCAACAGTATCAGTTGAAGCCACATTTGGGTAAATATCGGAGGAGTCCAGAAGTCAATGGGTGATGGGGCTACCGAAATATCGGATAATTCATTTAAGAATCGTACAAATCTGGAATTCGATTCACAGACGTTTAATTCAATTTAAACAAAATGTTAAAGTCAAATGGAATTATCAAGTGATTTTGATTGATGCATTTATGTATCGACGTATCGATAATTGTAGTATTTCACAACACTGAGCAGACATTTTGTGTAAAGCTCGCTAATATTAATGGCAAGCGAGAGCCGGAGCAAACAAATTCTCAATTAAATTCCTTATTCAATTTATTGCCTCCTCTTCGGCATTGCGCCTTTTGTTTCTGTCTGTGGCTTTTTGTTTTAGGTTTTATTTTTTGCTATTGTTGTTGTTATATTTTCCTAAGCTACGCCGACTTTGATTTATTTAACAAGCAAAAGGCGCCAAAATATAAAAAGCCACAAGAGAAAACTTTGCCGTCGTCGTCTGTCATCTGTCCGCAGTCGGTTTGGGTTGAGTTTTTGTGGCTGTTTAGCTTTGGCTGTTCTTATCCCTTATCCCTTATTTTTGGCTTTTGCATATGGCAATAATTCAATTATGCACAACAAGGCCGCAAAAATAATTGGGCGCCGCTCGTCGCCACAGGCGTTGGTGTCGAGGTCCTGGTCTTGGTCCTGGTCCTGCTGCTGATCCTGAAACCAAAATCACTTAAAAAAAAAAACTTCAAAAACTTCTGGCTTTGTTAATTCGTTAATTAAGTGGGCCTGGTTGATTCTCGATGACAGCTTGTAAACAGGAATTCAACTTTAAGGATTACGCAATGAGCAAGGCCACAATAACAACAACAACAACGGCAACAAGAACAACCCCATAATCACTGCCTCCCATTGATGACATTGGCTGGCAGCAGCAATCTTTGCTTATCAAAGGCAAACAACGACATCAACGACGGCTACGACGACAACTCATTTAGTCCTACCCAGCCCCTCCCTTCACCATCTCTATGCCTACTCTCCCCCTTTTTACACCAAAGACCGCACACCCCTCTCCATCTTTGCCCCAAGCCAGACCCTTAATTAGCATAGAATGTGTTTTAAAAAGCCACTTGGGCTAAACATTCAAAACACCTACACGACGATGATGCCCCACACCCACCCACACCCAGCCACACACCCAGCCTCCCCCAGCCGCCTTGGCGACTATTCCATTCAAAGACCCAAAACTGCTACGACTGCTACGACCTTAGATGCTTGCGGCTAAATCTTTGCGCGGAGACGGCGTGGCACAGTTAGGCAACGCGAGGCAAGGCCGGTTACTGATGCAGGGTATCTGGCCTTTTATAAACGCTTGGCGACATCCTTCTTCTCGCACACGCCTGACGATATGAGAACAGGATTAACCAGTCAAAAGCTCTTGTCCAAGATTAACAGTACAAGGAACAATAGACCAACAAACTATTGACCAACACTTGTCTCCCATATTCCTGTTGCGATATCTTTTTGCAGCTGCTATATAAGCCATCAGTCCATGATTATTTCTGGTGTATCAACTTAGTTTTTAATAATAGGAGCTTCTGCAAGTTTTTTAGTTTTACAACACTGCAAGATGCGACACTAGTTGTGCGGAAATTAATCAGCCAAATTCTTCCAAGCTCTTCTCTCGCCTTAACTGCCAAAATGTCGGCTGTGTTTTTTTTTTTTAGCGCCGGTAGAGAGCATCTCCGATTTGGTTTCGCACCATTTTCACATATTTTTTTTCACATATTTTTTGTTTTTCTCCTTTTTTTTGCTAGCTGGTAGCGCACAGCGCAGTCGACGTCGTGTTGGCAGCACGTGATGTTCAAGTGTTGGGATAAGCATTTCCGCTCTTCAGACGTAACGCTAAAAACGCTAAATATATATATATATATATTTATATATATATACATACGAACAGACAGCAACGATACGGGGTAGAGCGACTAGAGACGTGTGGTTGGAGTGGGTGGGTTGGGTGGTGTTGTGTTAGGTTGGGTTCGTAGGCAGATGAGGAAGCATTGAAATTGTGACGTCGCTGCCACGCCTCTAACAACGCTCAGCCGTTCGCCCAACTGCCATTCAAAAGTAATTTAGCGTTTAAAAAACATTTTTCTGCCTGACTTTTAAAAAGTTTTTCTTTTTGCATAATGTGCCCGCCTCGCATTTTGTTTGTGTGTATGTGAGCATGTATGCGTGTATGCGTGTGTATGTGGATTTAGTTGTAGGTTCATGGGTGTGTGGGTATGTGGCTGTGTGTGGGTGTGTCTACACTCACCTGTTTAATGTGGCCACATTTCGTCGTCGTCTGTCTGATTCAGTTGATTGTATTATAGCACCTACTAAACAAACTGAATGGCAAAAGCCTGTAAAATTTTTCTGTATATTGACTTTGACGTTATACTGACTGCCAACGCATAATGAAGGAAGTGTGTGAGAATGTGTGTGTATGGGTGTGTTAAGCAATTGCTTATGAAAATCTCGTTCAGTAATGTGTAAACACTTCAGGCTGATGTGCATAGCCATAGGAAAAGTCAGAGTCTTGCGGAAGGATTATTTCGTTGAAGACATCAGGTAGACAAACGTAATAAGTACAATGAGCTTTAGCCCATTTTCAGGACACTCTAGTGACGGGTTCACGCTTTGGGTAATTATCTTAAAAGACCTCAAAGTTGGCCGCTTAACGTTCATAACTTTTACAAAGCTCCAAAACACACATAAAAAAAAGAAAAATGAAAAGAATATGAAAAAAAACAAGCAAACAAAAAATAAAATGGGCATTTCAATCTGTTTCTCCCCACTTTTAACTGAACTAATTACCAAAAAAAAAAAAAAAAAAAAAACATATTTATATTTAGAGCCTGGCTAGTTAAATGCTTCTTTTTTTGTATTTTTATTGTTCTCTTTTTAGGGCACAATTCGTAATTGGTTTAGGCCATTTTGGTTGGGGTGTGGGACTCAATGTAAATATTTGCTTCTACTGGCTTACAAGAATATGAAATGTAATTCGTTTAGCGTGTTTATTTAATTGTGGCTGGGCCGACAATCAAAAGAGCGACGACCCATCAATAATCCCAGTATTTTTGGCGTTTTTTAATTTACTACCCAGCCACCAGCCCCGTCCCCGCACTAATTATGTTGGGCTCGAAATCGTTATATTGGTGTCATCTAGTCATTATTTAATATAAGCCCACTTTGATAAATTATTTCCGTTGGACGACGCGACGTGACGAAAGTTGTCAGCATATCTTTCGCAGTGTTTGGTTCGGTATACTTTGATTTGTGGCCAAGTTGTGTTGGCCCAAAGGGGAGTGGCAATCCCAGAGTGGGGAATCGGGAGTGAGAAGTGCTGAGTGCAGACGAATGGAGACAAGTGGAGACGCGTCTCGACTATCGTCGCGCGTTTATTTGCGCAATTAATCAATTTAGCTGGCTCTGTTTGTGGAATAAGTGATAAAGATTTATCACTCATCCACTTAGCTAGCTCTTGCGCCAGCACAACCATTAGCATCCACCATCAGAGCGCCCTTTCGCCCAGTCTGCACTCGTCTAAAATTGTGGTTTGCTTGAGCTTTAAGTGCGCATTAAAGTTCACGGCAACACTCGACATTCATTGAACCCAGAGCTTTGACTTTTGCATCTCAACGCACACGAAAGGCATTTGAAATGGAGTTTCAGTGCAGGTTCGAGTTGGAAACGACCTGGGGCTCAGTATTTACATTTGACTGAATTAAGAGAAACCGCGCAATAAATTAAATCTGCAATCGTGTTTCACTTGAATAACTTACATATTTAATAGATTGCCTCGTAGTCGGAAATTGATTTTTATTTTTATTGCTTCGATTTGCTTTTTATGCATTTTTGATTAAAAATAAAGTAACAAATTATTCGAATTTAAAATAGCTGGAAGGAATCCTTGCCACACTGCTTCGAAGCTTACGTCTTGTGAAACCATTTCTATACGAACATCATTTGCAAAATTATATATATTTTTTTGTTGGTTATTTATCTTAATCGTAACTAATCAATTTAAAAAAATCATTCAAATCCTTACTACAGTTCATTGAAGTTTATGCTTAATGTACAACGAATTGTTTTCCAAAACTATTTTCAAAATTCTATGCGAACAACATTTATTTATCCAATCAAATACAGTTTCAGGCGTATTGTAACTTAAACTTAATTGAATGACAATTTTTACTAAATAATTTAGTATTAAAATGATTATTTAATAATTAGTATCTTTGAATTAATTTGAAAAGAAGAGATTTGAGAGATATTTCTATTGATTCGTCTTACTATTGCGATTACTTGAATATGATTATTATATTATTAAAATTATTATTATTACCAATACATATAGATAGCATATATTTGTTATATGTTGTCAGTTGCAAGGTTTCAACAAAACTGCTTTAAACGCTTAACTTTTATATCTGGCGTTAACTTTAAGGGCCTCACTCACTCTGCCTCCTCGCATTTTCGTCTTTTAACGTGTTCTGATTTTTGTATATTACGCAACGGCCTGGCTTATAGCCTGCTGTGGGTGGTGTCGATGGGTGATGTGGGTGGCTTGTGGTGGCACAGTCGGGTCGATTGTATGCACAGTGTGTGCACTGTGTGTGGGTGTGTGTGTGTGTGTTTCAGCTCTGGCGGTCAATGCACTCAGAGCATAGGCAAAACTGCATAGCAGCGAGTGAAATCAAAAGGAAAAGACTGCAAAGCCGGCGCGACAACCAATCCGCTACCCTCGGCAAGCCCCTCCACTTCATTCACCCACGGGTCCGCAGATACGGATGTTAAGCTAGGGCCCGGCCGATGTCGATGTTTTCGTTTTAAGGCGCGACATTTTGGCATTTTGGCTTGTCAACGCCGATGCCAACTTTTTGGGCGGCACTTATTAAAAATGGTGGCCCGCGGTACGTTGCACATTTTCTTAGGTGCAAAAAGTTGCACTTGGCTGATGGCCAAAAAATCCATTCAGGCTGGTGAGTGGTGATGATGGTGTGGGTGGGGGTGGTGCGTGGGCGGTTTGACTGATTGAGTGGTGGTTGCTCATGCTCCACCTCCAGCAACGTTGCTGTTAAGTGAAGTGTAGGCGCATGAAACGAAACACGCGAAACTTGTCGGTGCAATGTAATAAATTTTGCAGAATGTCCGAGCCCACAATAACGAATGGCTTACCCACTGCACATGGATAGCCACCACCAGTACATGGGTCACTGTGTATGTGTGTGCATGTGTGTTGGGATATGTTTGTGTGTACCCACATACACTCAAACAATTTCATTTGGAGAATATTTGGTTAGTCAGGTTACTTTTTTTACTGCTGCCTTAAAGACGCTTACAACTTTTGATGCATGCTTAAAATACCTGCCTTTAAATCCAATAAGAATATAAATATATACAATTTAAGTAACTTATTTTCAATAATATCACTATTTATTGACTATTATCATTATATCAGCGCAGTTTTGACTTTTTGCACTTTTGCAAGTGTCAACCAGCAAACATAAATTTACACACGCACACACACAGACAATGTTTGACAAGCTTTGAGTCCTTTCTGTTGCCCATTTTTGCCGCGGCTTTCATTTTTTTGTTTTCCAGAGCAAAAATTTTAAATATTTCGAAACTGTGGCTAACTTACTTTTCACTTTATTTTGTAATAGTATTAGATGGGTGATGGGCAAGAATGGAAGGGGTAAAATCGGCTGCCAAACAATTTGTTAATTGTATTTCATATGCATGGACACACTTCACAGATTTTATTAGATTTCAGTTGGGATTTCAACTGTGATGCTCTCTCTTTCTGTGTGTGTACTTGTGTGTGTGTGATCCTAGCCTGCAGCTTGCTGCGCTTCTTTTAGTATTTGCCTAACAAATTGAAAGGCAAATGAAATGAGCTTAAATATGCGTACAATGTAAATAGAATCGAGCAACTTTGCCGTGGGGCAGCAGCTGGCAAAAGTGTTTTGCATAGTTCATAAAATGGAATCCGCTCTCTGCGTCTTTTCCTCTCATTCTCTCTATCATTCTGTATTCTCGTCTTAACTTTTATTGAGATATTGGCCCGTTCATGGTAGCAGCTAGTGTTTCCATTCCGCTTATCGCTAAATGCCAATCAGCAACGCAAATTTGACACAAGCCACACAAATCGACAAAAGAAATATGCAAGACCGTCCGAATTGGAGATATCCTGATTGCAAGCGTTACTTATCTATCAGATATTGTAATCCTCTGGTGTATTCAAACCAAAACTTAAATTCAAATCAAATAGGAATTGATATTGATCGGTTAAGTTTTGTTCAAATTATGCCAATGGAGAATTTTTTTGGGGTGCAAAATTTGGAGCAAAAATCGTGTTGGCAAAATGAAACGCAGTATTATTTCAGAGGTAAAGCCCTCACATTGCCTGTGAAATTCGTTTCAGATTGGAAATGCATGACAATTCTTGAAAAATGTTTGCAAAATTTGCGCAACTGCAAATATTTTGCTTGCTGCCTTAATTAACTGTAAAGCTGGCTTTAAGCTACAACTGACTCCCAATGCTTTTTCTATGCAAATTTGGCTCTTCTGCAACTCCTTTTCTCAAACATACATTTTCATCTACGTGTGCAAATAATTTGCAAAACAAACGCGTGTAGCTGCGCTTAAAGTGCTCTAAGGGGGGGTTGAGAGAGAGAGAGGGAGAGAGAGAGAGAGAGAGAGAGAGAGAGAGAGTAAAAAAGAAAGTAAGCACGAGGCAAAAAAAACAAAAAAAAAACAAACAAAAGTACATAGAAGTTGAGAAGTGTATGTAAAAAAGAAAGGAAATATGACTGCAAATATTTTCTTATGCTTGTATGACATGTAAGCATGTGAATACACACACACACACACACACACACACACACGCACACACACACATGCACACACGCACATACACGCAGCCTCACATACATTTGTATACATATAAATATATATACATATATCTTCGTGGCGCAATGCGCTGCAGTTGTCGACGCAACTCTGAAGACAAATACGTACGGTCGAGGGTCGCACTGAAAGTTATTGTGTATATCACATTAAGCTCAAAACTTAATAAAAAAATTAAGTAAAAGTATCATCAGTATTATTTCAATTAAAAATGCATACTCAAGAGCAATTGAATGATTACACCTGAAATAGAATATAGACTAAGGAATTTGATTTGAATGATAAGTATTTGAATAAATATGTCTTCAGGATGTGGATTCAGATCATGATATTCTATGAATAGCAATGTGAAATGAACATGTTGAATTGAAAGATGGTCAGAGAGTCGCGTCATGATATTTCATTTGTTATATAAGTGGAACAAAAACCTACTAATAT